AGCTAGCCTTGAGTCCTTATGACGACAAGCGATACGTAACACCTGACTCTACCGATACATTACCGTGGGGTCATTATAAGCTATCCGTATCAGATACTAATGTAGTATAAATACTTTTACCATGCAGAATAAATAATCGTTTCACTTTGTACTCTTTATTCATTATAATACAGCCGTTTTGTGTATCCAAGAGTTGTATGTATTGTCTATTCCTAAATTTGACGAAAATCCTATCGTCCTTTCTACGTAGCACCTTCTCTATGAGATAGATATCGGATTTGGAAACTCACAGTAACTCGTGTTCATAGAATCCTCCGGCCACATTCTCCGCAATAGTCTTTCAACAGATACGTCACGAGATTCGTGTGTTGCACCTTGGCGATTCGAAAAATCTCGGTCGTCCAGTTAGGTGTATATCTCTTCTCGAAAATAGTTTTGAATTTGCTGACGCATACCGGATCGTTCATCTTGAACCTCGCGGGGGCTGATCTTCAAGTGACTATATACCGTGGAGAGGAGTCTCTTGGCAACGGCGGGAGTTACGTCGTCGGTCGCATTCCAATCGTTCGATGCGGTTGTTATACTCTGAGATTAAACGCGATAGAGCGTCGAGCCATCTGTACGATCTGTTGAGCGTGAAGAGCCTCTACATGTTGTTCTTGAGCATGCGATTAAATCGCTCCACCACTGCCGCCTTCATCACCGAGTACGTCGAGTAGTATATCGTATCTGTCCGTAACCACTTTTACGGAGGCGTTGTAGAACTCCTTGCCCTTGTCCGTTTGTAGATTTCGCAGATATCGAGCGTCGTCGCGAAATATCTTGGACAACGTCGTGACTACCTCGCTTCCGCTCTTGCTCTTGAGTGATACCGCTCACGCGTACTTGCTCAACACGTCGATAATCGTCATCACGTAGTTGTAATTTTTGTTTCGTCGCACGTACGAACGCATCTCGACGATATCGGTCTGCCACAGATCATCGTAACCGTGCATTAGGACACGACGACGCGGGAAGTTTCTTCGCGCGGGCGCGTAAAGCTCCTCGACGAGTCTCCTCTTCTCGACGCTCATCGCTGATTTATGAAGCACGATTCGCGCTAGTTTTATTCGTGTTCGTCGCTTCGCGCGTTCACTCTTGTTCCTCGTTCCAAATGTTAATCGTGTGTTTCATGATATTCGGGATATCCGTTTTTAGCGCGATTAGTAATTTGTCTATCGTTTCTCTAGTCACCATTTTATCTACGTTCAACGAGGCCAGCGTAGTGTCCAGCGTCTCTCTCATTACCGCTTTGTCCGTCAGTTCTCTCGCGATCCTCGTCAGATCTATTATGCTACATGCGAGATTCTCCACGTCCGTAGAGACCTCTCGCGGCTCGTCGACGACGCCTCGAGCTCGTTTTGCAGGGATTTTTCTAGATTTCGCAGGAATTCCTCTAGATTTCGTAGTGGTTCCTCTAGGTTTCGCATTCGTTTCTCCTGAGCGTCGCCGAGTGTCTTGACGACTCTTCGGATCTCGTTCGAATTTCTAGCTCGCAGTTCGTCCCATTTCCAAAGCGCTCAGTCGTCTCGTTTCTCCCTCTTCTTCTCGATCTGTCGCAGGGATTCCTCTAGGTACCGCGTCAGTTTCTCCTAAGCGTCGACGACCTTTTGGATCTTGCTCAGATCTCTCTCTTGCAATTCGTCCCGCTTCTCGAGCTCGTTCCGTCGCGTCTCTCGTCTCTCCTATTCGTTTATCGAGATTGACATGCGAGACTTCCCTCTTCTTTTCGAAGTGTCGCAGAATGTCCACTTCGGTTCTTACGTCGTAATACTGTAGGAAAATATTTCGAATCCGCTTGTTCATATTATCCAGCTGTTTTCGTAGCTCGTTCGTTAGAGCTTTCGACTCCTCGCTCCTTACGCGAAACGCGTCGTCGACCCTTGGTCGTCGCGTCGGCGTCGTTGATCGGCGCGTCCAGATGCCGTATCTTGCGTCTGTTGACCTCGTAGACGTCCGGACATAGCGCGCTGCGACGCACGTATGCTCGCAGGGATGCAATCATCGAACGATCGTCGACGATGCGCTGTCTCTCCAGAGACTTTCCGAATTTGTTCATGGACATCAAGCCTTCGCGGGTGATGAATCTACCACGCGCGATAATCTACTCATAATCTCGGCGATCTGTGTATCATATTTTAGAAATAATTTGGCTACGCGCGCCATAGATTCCTCCAATTCGCCGATCGATCTGGCCGTGCTTTCCGACAGCAACGCTCGGGTGCTCGCCGAGAGTTCGCTCGTCTCGAAGATCCTCATCTCCGCGTCTCGAAATGCGATGCGTTGTGCACGCAGCTCTTCCTCGCGGCGTCGGTATCGGTTCTCGGTGCGGCTAAACGTCGTATGATTCTGTCTCTCGCGTCGTAGTAATCATCGCTCAGACAGAGCGCGGTGTTACGCACGTAATGACGCGTAGGGACTCGATCGACGGTCGCGAGCGTGCCCTGTCGATTCCAACGATCTTCCGAATTTGTTCACTGACATGACGGGAATACCGGTCGCCGCAAGTACGTGCCGCATTTTTCTCGCGAAGCTCCTCGATTATCGACAGAATCTCGTTGTCGTGAGCATTATTGCCCGCTTGTCGAGAGGCGTCGAACAATCGAAGACAATCGACTAGCTTGTTGGGATCGTCCTAGTGAACGTACTCGATTCTTTTGTTTCTCATAGCGGATGGAACAGAGTCGATCCCTCTTTTTCTCGTTTTACCAATACCAGCGCCAATTTTGTCTCTATCGAGCAATAACGGCGCGATGATGTGCTTGTACTTGAAATCTTTGTTTCCTAGAATGGGCATAAAGCGTTGTGACCGCGCCGATAGGCGTTCGTAGTCAACAGTATACTCTTGTACATTTGCTTGTCGTTCTCCATGTACACGACGTCGTCGGAGAGTCTCTTGAAGATTAACTCGTATAAGCCCGGGGTACCCGGATATCGCACGTCGCCCACGATCACGCTGTCGTCGGCGGCCAAGTCGAATCGCTTGTCGCCCGAGCATCGAGCCGCCCACGTCGAAGTACACCCTGTAAACGTGGTCGATTTCGTTCTGTCTGTCTCCACTTAGAAGCGCGCCCATATATTTGCGACCTAACGTCCCCATTGCGCGTTCAAGATCAATTCCTCCGATTCGCCTCTCGTCGCAGGACTAGCCGTCGCGATCGAGGGCGATCTCGTCGAGAGGCGTCTCTTTGTCTATCTTGACGGCGGCTCGTCGTCGATCTCGTGTTTCCTCTTAGCGCCGACGAATGCGATTGGATTGATTCCCTCGGTCGACTCGTCTCGCGCGGTGTTCTCGGCGATTTCGTTTCAACGACTGAACGATCGATTTGAATCGCTTCTCCAGTGTGATCTCCTCCTCTGTCTCACCGGTCTTTAACACTCTGTGCTTTTTACGTATAGAATCCTGAATCTTCGCGATCTCTCGTTTTTTCTCGTCGAGCGACATCTGTACTCGCCGCAGCGTCGACATCCATACTCGCAGCAGCGTCGACGTTCATTCTCGTCGCACAACTGATCGCTCTACATCGCGGCGAAATCATTAATCATCCTCTGTATCTACCGTTCCTTAACGCGCGGTCCTTATCAATAACTACGAAACCGTATTTGCGTTTCCAACAAGGCGCAAAAATCCTCGTACGTATCCGTTCACGTGCTCGTTGTAAATGTGCTTTAGATTAGTATCATCCTACTTAAACAGAATCAAGAGATTCGCGTTGTCGCGTATCAAGTGTTTCGGAATTTTAGCGTGTCTGACAGAAATAGAAACAATCGATGTTCGAGTGTTGACCCATGGCGAAATATTTCCTGATCGCGTTCTGCTTGTCACAGGCCACGTCGTCGAATACGAATATCGAGTTGGGAAGCGCCTTGCTCGGTGGCACGACGTTGCTATTGTTCGAGAACGCGCAATAGCCGATCTCGTCCATCGATTCGAGCAACTTCGCCAGGTATCGATACTTCGATTGTTGCAGGGAGTTCGAGTAGACGTACATTCTCGAAGCACGCGCTATACTGGCTTTCGAGCATGCTTATCAACACGTTCGTTTTACCGCAGTTGGAGGGGCAAATGATGCAACATATCGGGTGCGTTCGGGGAGCGCGCTATCGCGCAAAAGACACTAACGCTGACACTAATGCTCGTTCGAGGAAACTATAAGGAGCTTACGCTTTCGAGCTCCCTAAACGATACTTCAAGTAAATTATCGTTCCAATATTGCTACAAACATGAATAACCAAAAAAAAATAATATTAAAGCTTGTCATGGAAGAATTAATAGAATCATCTTCATCATCTAGCGACGAAGATTTGGATGTTCTTGATAATTTAGAAGTATATCGAAGAAAAATTTCAAGATTGGAAAATTATGTGGAAGGGGTGGTGCCTAGATGGAAAGATGCAGAATTTAAATTACATTTTAGGTTATAATGAATTATCTGGTTTTGATTTTTCTTCAAAGTTTTGTATATCATTGGTACAAAGAAAATTTTGCACCGCTTGTTTATAACAAGACATTAGCTATTTCTTATCTAATATGCATAATATTTATACATTTTTTATCTAAGATATTTATATTAATTTTTGCTAGTATTTATTCAAATTTTTTATAGGATGTCCAGAAACACTTTTGAATTCGTACTATCAATAATTGCTCCAAATTTGAAAAGATATTATCCAGGATTAGAAATGATTTCTCCAGAGAAACAATTTCTTATCTGTATTTGGAGAATGGCTACTCTTGATTCTGACAGGTAGTGTATTATGTTCAATAATAAGATTTATTTAATGGAATATTGCCTTTTTTATTTATAAGTCTTCTATTCTAGATCAATATGCGAAAAATTTAATGTGAGTCCATCAACAGCTTTATTGACAACACGACGAGTTACTAGTGCATTTGCAAATTTGGCATCAATATTTATCAAATGGCCGGTAGGGAACAATGTTCAAGAAGTTTGGGCAGGTTTCGAAGCAATTAGTGCTTTTCCGAAAGTTATAGGAGCTATAGACGACACTCACGTCAGTATTCCATCTCTACATATAAATCCAGAGGCTTATGTTAATCGAAAAGGCTATTTTTCTATTCAGCTGCAAGTTAGTAATACACATACACTTACATAAAAGAATTCTTCTTTCTGACAATATATCATATCTTATATCTTACAGGGAATGTGTGATCACAAGCTTTGTTTTACTCACTGTTATATTGGACACATCGGTTCTGTACATGATCACCGTGTCTTTCGTCTTTCAGAAATCCAGGATGCATTGGGCAATCCAGAAAAATTCCCTGATGGGTGTCATTTAATTGATGATTTTGCATATAAGCTTCATGACAATTTAATAATTCCCTATCGTGATAATGGTCATTTGACCGAACGACAAAAAATTACAATTACTGCCATTCCCCAGCGCGAATTGCCATTGAAAAAGCATTTGGTCTTTTAAAAGGACGCTTTCGAAGCTTATTACATCATCTCCCTATGAATCGAACTGATTTAATTGTTCATTTTATACTTGCTTGTTGTGTCTTGCATAATATTTGTATATCCAAAGGTGTTGATTTTGATATTCTTCCGTTAAATGATGAGATAGACGATAATGTTCATCGACAAGTTATAGATAATACACAGCACAAGTAGGTATAATCAAGACAGATTTAATCTGTGAAAGACTTCTAATGAGATATATGTAATTTTTTTACAATATAATAAAAATGGAGAAAAAGTATGAATAAAACAATATTTTATTTATTTTGAATAGTTACATTTATATATTTCCATAAAATTAATGCAAAATAAATTTTAAAACAAAAATAGTGATAGTAATATTAATAGTTTATAATAAATTGTCAAATTTCTGAAAACATAATTTCGACATTCCATTAAATGATGAGATAGACGATAAAAAAAACAAATTTTATATTTTCTTCAAAATAAAAATAAAACAAAT